ACGGTGTGCTCACTTTTTACTCCCCAAACGCTCGGAATTTTCTAAGAGTGCATTGTTGCCACGTGTTTTTGACCGCACCTCGAGGCTCCATTCTACTCAAACCTCCGGTTCATGGAGGTATTAAAAATGCCACTTCCATATCACTGAGAGGAAAAGAGAAACTTGTAAATTACTGTAGTTTAAGGGGCATTGTACGCAAGACGGTCGGGTATGTAACTTATCCAAGATTCAATTCTTCACCAGATTACAATGGCATTGCCTGACCCTATTGCCTTTTAATTCCTATGTACCCTATTACTTTTTCCCTCCTAAAAAAGTGTGCTAGTCTTACAATGTCAGCTCAGATTTATGTAAATAGGTGACGAATGAAGAGACAGGGGAAGGAAGGTATTCGGGAGTGAGTATGTGGGCCGGAAGTAATTTTCACTGGGGCCCAAATAAAGCACTTCCCACTCATCTCACGTTGTACAATGGGAGCATGCCGTGGGAGGAGCGAGTGGACATCGCCCTTTCCTGGTTCTCCCACCCGGATCGACCGGCCAATTTCGTCGTCTTCTACTTGGAGGAACCCGATAGAACGGGGCACGATAACGGACCGGATTCTCCGGAGGTGAAGGCGATGGTGGAGAAGGTGGATGCATTGTTTGGATATCTCGTGTCTCGGCTCGAGGCCCTGAGCCTGTTAAACGGGACCAATTTCATCGTCCTTTCGGACCACGGGATGCTGGGAGTGAATCGCAGCATGGCGTTAGACCTCGAATCCATCCCCGTCCCTCCCAGTGATTACTTGCATGCCACTAACTCTCCCCTAGTACTCATCTATCCGCTGGAAGGTAGGTCGCTGCACTCCTTTCCTCCTTTTCACGATGGGAACGTTCAGTTTTTGTCGTCCACATGGCAGGGAAAGAGGAAAAAGTTTATCAGGGATTCCTCAATGCATCCATGACGAAACCATTCACAGTGTACAAAACGGAAAACACCCCCGAAGAATGGCATTACGGACCCACATCACATTCCCCACCATTATACCTGGTTGCGGACAAAGGATATACTTTCAGTGATGATGCCTGGTTGCTGAATACCCCCAAAGGTTTCTTTAGCCTCGTTGACATCATTTAGCCCTTTTCTTTCTATGGCCGCATATCGAGTACTTTGTTTGTGACCAGACCCGAGGTACGACATGATCGGCGTTCATGGATACAACAATTCCTTTCCCGAAATGCAGGCCTACTTGATCGCCCACGGCCCGGCATTCAAGAACGGGTACGTATCCTCCGATAATGCCGTTTTCAACAATCTGGATGTTTATCCTTTGCTCTGTCACCTCTTGGGAATCCAAGCTCGTCCAAATAATGGAACTCTGGAGCACTCGCTGAACTTTCTGAAGACAACCGGCTCGACTGGCCACGGTATCGGGTTAGTGTCGTCGTATGATCTCTGAAATTTCACGAGTTCGAGATTTCCTCGTAAAAAAGAGATTGGTTTTCTGTCACCACCATAGGTACGATGGGAAGATGGCAGCCCTTGCGATCGGCCTGACTCTTTTCCGTTCACTCCGTCCGCAGTTTCCATAGCCATCGGGAAATTGGACTCGGTGCGCATGTGCAACCTCCAGTTTTGGGTCGGGTGCCAGCCAACCGGTAAAACCTCCACTTCTTCTTTGCCCTAGCGTTTTGGTAGATCCATAGAAGAGAAAGGGAGAGAGCGGTTTCTCGTAACAGCGCGGTCGGGGTGGCAGGAGGAGGACCGTGTCGAGCCACGCTGTACGAGTGGCTGCTTGAATGAATGAGTTTTGTTAAGTTGGATAGTTAGTATGCGGCGAAGGAGATAATAGCAGAGGTGTATTGGCCAAATGTGTGGAAAATCTGTAGCGGGTCTGGTACTCGAGTTAAGTGAATGCGTTGAATATGTCAAGTTGGATGCCCACGGCACTGTTTACATTAAGGGATTTAGAATATGGTGGTAATTATGTTGGCTGTATGCCAACATGAAAATGATCACTTAGGCTTCCCCTTTTCAGGGATTCGAGCTTCAAGGCGGTTCTGTGAGACAAAGCAAGCACCTCTGCGTTAGTAATTGTATTATGTGCTTTCTCTATATTCAAATGCTTTTCTTATCACTTTTGGTTAGGTTTTTGCGTGTTCACCCTGTATTCCCAATGGTTGTGATCAACAGCATGCTTACTAATCATTGCAAATTGAAGTGAATATTTTCTGTCGTGCTGTACTTCCAGAAGTAATCATGTCAAGTGATGATTTGAGTTTTTATGTAAATAGACGTGTTTAAACAGGAAGTCGCAGTATTTTTTCACTTCTTCCCTATTCATAGCAACTGGTTGCCCGAAGGACAAAGGGTCTTCCTCACAGGAAGCATAGGGTTGCGAAAAGGAATACCATGTCATCAACCCTATCCAGTTACTCTTAAAACCTCATTGAAGCGGTGATTTCCCAAAATCAGCAAACCTAAACGTTGTAATTTTCACCTGATTTGTGAGAGGGTGATCATGCGTAGCCAGATCCTTCGGTTTATCCTTTACTATTAATAGAAGCGATTTCTCCATCCTCCCCAAGATCACGCCTTAGACCAGCGGTGCTCAAACTTTTTTTTTTCAAGTGCAGCCCACGGCTCAAAAAGTTTACTAATACGATTTTAAAATTTAGTCAGCCTAACATCACTCATGCAATGGTATCTATTAACACGATGGAGATTTACAGAATTGATGTTTGCAGCTCCCTTGCGTACTGCAAGGCGAAGTTGCTGGAGATGCTCATTTGTTCGGCGCGTACGTTACGTGTTCTTCAAATACTGCATTTTGAATTAAAAATTTGAAGAAAAGGAGAATGATGCTTCGCACAAGTACACAGAAGAAAGCAGCGGCAAAATTGTGTTGCACTCGCTACCAAGGACTGAAGGATCCACGTGATTATTTTACAGGTTGTGTGGCTAAAGACAAATCCAATAAAAATAAAAGGAAAATATTTTCTCTCTTTCGTATCATACTTCGGTGCTTCCCGGCTTTGATGACATTCGGCTGCATTTCAGTGCCCGATTCGTCTTGTTATTCTTCAGCATGTGATTATACAGATGTGTCTTTTGTCGTGGCTTCGCCCTAGCATTTTCGAGCTTCCTCCAAAGTATCCGGTCTTCTTTGCAGCATTGTGTTTCATGTTTTTTAAGATAGCAAGTGTAAGATAAGCAAGTGCTGCAGCTGGTTGATCAATTCCAGGACTGGTTTCCATGTCAGAAGTATGTGACTTGCAGTAGGCTGAGAAGCTGGAACTGTGGATTCGATGTTTGTGTGATGATAGTCTTTGGCAATTCCTTGGGGACACGGAATGGTCAGTCCGAAGCATTTCACCAAGAGAAAATGTCATGTCCTGAGAATGGGTACAGAATCTCTCATTAGGAACTTTTTCTAATACAGAAACCATATATGATAGCAATCGTCTGCAAAACGAAGTGAACAGACGTATGCTGGCTATGGGTACAACAAATGAAATGAGCTTCGGTCGAGCCGGGCCTGGTCTGTCCTCGATCGGAGCGCAGACCACTGTCCGTCCATTATCTCACTCTCGTGATCGGGGTGGGAAGGTGTGACCTTCGCAGGGAGTTATGAAACCATGTCGCGATTTGTCGAAGATGCCATCCATTCATCAGGACGGTCTTAATATTTTTAAATTGCTGAAGCCCATGGGAGTCACGCTGCCTTCTTCTTTCCCCGGACGGACTGTATTGCACTGTACTCTCCCCAATCCCATGGGACATTTTCCCTTTCAAAATCATTTACCGATACATCGCGATGGTCGAACAAACAATCGATACCGCCAACCATCGATAGTGGACTGCCACGATAGATCGATGCATCGATAATGCATCGATCTATCGTGGCAGTCCTAGTTAAAAGTGTCAAATGAGGATCAGGCATGCGACTCCGCCAGGAGTGATTGACCCCGGGAGTAAAATGCTGATCCTTGCGTGCCGCATCAGCCGCTAGATGTCTCCATGTTTGTAGATGGATGCTTAAGATTTAACCCCTGTACTTCTTCTATCTCAGAGAAACATTAACGTAGATTTATTTTAACAAACCTGTGCTCATAGAGAGTAAAACAGTGCCAGGATTCTAGTTCGACGTTTGGAAGGGTCTCGGGTCAAACCAAAGGATCGCCTCGCAATCTTTCGCCAGCCGGTCCACGCGAAAACACTGAAAGCGCGCTTCGAAAAACAACCGATCCTCCCAAGCGCCTCTTCGACCAGTGACCAGGAGATTTCGCTGTTGCAAACAGGCTCGACCCAAGTCCTGAACACAATTAGAATGTCCTCCACGACCCGGAATAGGCACGGGCCGGTATTGCCCGTTAAGATCTATAGATCTTAACTTGTCTTCCACTCGGTCTACTTTAAAGAGGGTGGCCTTCACCTCCACGAAAAGGAAATATCCCAAGCAATAAGAGGCACACCTGACTTAGATCGACTTCTTCGTAGTTCGATATCGCATCAGGATCAGCGATGGCATTGGGAGGGAAGCAACAGTAATTCTGCTAAGATTGGCACAAATAAGGCGATATCACTTTTTCTCCGATGGAGTGTCCAGCTGGAATCTCAGCCTAGACACACATAGTCTAGCCTAACCTGAAATCTTGGCCTATAACAGCATCCGCTCCATGCAATCTAGGCTGCAGCTCCTGAACGTGTGCGCTCGTAGGTGCGAGTCGGCTTTATCAGAATTTCGTTTCCCAAGTCCTTGTTGGGATGTGATTGATAGGCTTAACATTGTTAATACATCCCGGATCTCCTTCATATTTCCGCATCGTGATGTTCTCTGGGATTAGCTGTATCGAATTGCTGGTGACTGAACATGCGGGCTCTGGTTGCAGCACACTTGCGTATGAGGAAACTTTCAGGTAAAGAAGAATTCTCTCCCTTTTTCCCATTTCTTGGAACGTAAGATTTGGTTTGCCGACACGGACCCCTATATAGCTCGAATTCCTCCTGTTGGATCGGAGATATTAGTATAAATAAGAACGAGATCATTCGGCATTGTCATTATCCGCTTAACGGGTGGAGTAGCAACATTGGCATCAGAAGGAAACACTCCCCTGAGAAATGGCAGTAGGGTCCAATATCGAGGAATATTTTTTTCTTCTTAACCAAGGACTCTGTCGTGTTTTGCAGATAGGGAAGATGGAAAGAAAACCAGAAGCAGAAAATGATTAATAAACTCTTTAGAGGAAGAATGACGAAATCCATCCCGTCAGCCAATGTGGTGGCTATGGGATGGGCTCGAGCTAAGAGTGCAATCAATTGCCAACTCTACGGTCATTCTCATTTGAAATGACGAAATATGATCAAGCTTTACTGGCCTTGGGAAAATATTGCCTTTGTTAGAGCCTGTCGAATGATGGAATCTTCTGGGTACTTTCGAGCGATACCTCTATGTACATGTCGAAAAGCATTTTGAAGAGCCTCCAAGTGTGAGACTCTTCTTCCACATGGAGTATCAAGAGCATGATCTTTTGCGAGGGGAGAAGGCACCCTGGGAAATAGCTTCCTGGAAAAGTTTGTCTTTCATTAGGTCCAGCTTGGAAATGCAGCCTTGCTTAGACTGAATCCTGAATTCTGTTTCTAAAATTTTCATCGTCGATGGTGGGCTTTTATAGACCGTTTTTTTTTTAATGCACTAGTGGACTTGCTTCCTAGCCAAATTTGCTTCGCAAGAATGTGATGAATGTGTGACCTGCTGAAGCATCTTTAGAGCGATGTAACAACAAATAATCACTCATCATTGGTTGGGAAGGTGAACCTTACCAGCAATGTGTACGAGGATGTTGATCGCATAAGGATTTAAGCACATCTGAACATAGTCATTATCATCCTCCCAGCTGTAGGTAATGGAGCTTGCAGGAGTCAAAGGATGCTCCGTATCCTTTTTCCATACTGATGCCAATGGGCTGGTGTCATCCTGTGCTAAGCAATTGCCAAAAGTGGAATGCCTCACCGTTAACTGATGTCCTAGTACTTTCTTAAAGGCAAGCTGGGAAAGTGCTGCATTAGGATAGTTGTTCCAGCCATTCATCCTTGGCAGTCTATTGAAGAGAAGTTCCTGGTGATTCTGACTTAGAAAGTATGTGAGCATGTAGGAGAGCAATAAGTATTTGCTTTCATTTTTTGTCTCGCACTCTCAAATTGCCTAGTAGAAAGTCCGTTTCCAAGGATGAGTTGAAGTTCCTGTTGTAGCCTGATGGGTCCTGCAATTTCAAGAAATTGATCGAAAGCAGAACCATCCAGTTAGCAAATTTTGCATGATGACTAATGGGCATACAATTGATTTAACCTTGCCATACAGGAAAAACACCTTGAATGATGCTAGTGTCACGGGTTTGGATGTGACTTAATGGTTAAGTTAAGCCAAAGGTAGCGGGCTTATGGGTTCTGTGCCCGTGA